GGCATATCTGTACAGTGAGGATCGTCACTAGTGAGTGTGACTGACCAACTCTTTGTTACTTCTCATGGATGATTGTTATGACGGCCCGGTGTAGAGCAAATATCGTCGAGAAACGGCCTGCGAAAACGGGTGGTCTTGGGGGCATCTATTTTTCTTCCCATAACTACTAGTGTGTATCGGTCTAACCTTCGCTCGGGTAGAGGGGTATATGATAGTGTTCGGATGGTTTGTCGTGTAGTGTTCATCATCAGCATACCTCGTTTAGATACAACCGATGATAAGCGGCTCCGTAACTTGCGTAAGAAGCTGAAGGAGGTGACGGCATTGAAGGCTCTTCCTCGTAAGGCCCTTCATCTTGTGCTGCTAGTTGCTACTGTAATGGCCTCGCGTGTCAGCTGATTCCCTGAACGAGGCACAGATGAGTAAGATTGCCAATGAGGGGAACCTCATGGAAGAGATCAAGGAGATTGAGGCACGTCTTGGATAATTATGAGACCCGCGATAGAGTTCATAAGGCAGTTCTCATTATCCTCTGTTACTGTTGTTAAGAAGAATCATACAGTTTCTCCGAGACTTACGTGGCCATCGTGTTGCTAGTGGTAGAGCAGGAAACATTTATACTATAAATATATAGTATGAGTAGTCGAAAAATAGGTATAATTAGAATTACACTGTAGATATATGGATGCATGAATATTATAGTAAATTGTGGTATGTTCAGGGATGAAATACTATGATGGAGTTTCACCCGTGAAACCTATTTCACCACTACTGCAAACCGCGAATTTCGCGTTCTTTACCGAGTGTAACGCCACTTCGCGTGAAACAGGTGAAACTCCAATGATATACGATTATACAATGTTACATATAAATGGAGTATACTATAGCTATATATAAAGATATTACTATTATATGCGTATATATACTAAACTGTCTCTGGAGAATTTCTCGGTGGCCGACGAGTTGATATTTAGGGCGTCTGGGGGTCACTCGGAAACGTATTGTGGATAACGAGTGTTCAGTTGGTTTGAATGGCGGCTGCTTCCGAGAACAGGTCGTCGGCGTCAGTGCATGTTTATCTGCCGGGGGACACGGTGTCGATAGAGGCTGGTGTGGTGTCAAGCTGTGATCCCAATTCGGTCGGGTTCGGGATAAGACTGGATGAGGACTGTCCAAAAGCTGCTGTGGCTGGTAATAATATTCTCTAAGGAGGAACCCCATTAGTTTGGAAAGCCTCGGTAATTTTTCAGGTTTGCTCTCAGTGGAGTCCGCGGTATCAGATATCCCATGTATTGACAATACGCGAAAACGAGTAGGTTAATGTGGTAGGCGATGGTCGTGTCTGATCTCTGTGTGTGATCAGTACATTCCGAGAAGAGGTGACATGGTGCTCGGTGTGGTAGTGCAGCGTACTGCCGAATACTACAGAGTTGACATCAATGGCCCGACGGGAACTGCCAACCTACCGACTCTGGCATTCAACGGGTAGTGACGGCGAAGCATTGAAATCATTGTTGATCATTACTTTCAGTGCCACCAAACGTCACAAGCCGAATCTTAGTCCGGGCGATCTCGTGTACTGTCACGTCACTGTAGCTGATCGGGACTTGGACGTGGAGCTGAGCTGCGTTGATCCCAGCACAACTAGAGACTGGACACACAAGGACGTGTAGTAGATCGTAAGAGGAAAACCTTTAGAAGGCCGAATCGTCAGATACTTTGGGCACCTCGCTCCTGTCGATGGTTGCTGTGGATTACAGGCGACGGTTCCTTTGTGGCAGGCGAAATCACTACAGGCTACTAATTCTACTGTTATGGCCAGTCTCGGGCGACATTTTGTAGCACTGTATGATCGCTCCTCTGCTCACATGTGTGCCGCAGGTCTTCGAATCTGCTATTGGTGTGAACGGCCGTTGTTGGATATCAGCAGCTGCTCCGAACGTTGCTGTGATGGTAAGTAGGATATTGTCAGGCAGCCATAAGCTCAGTCAAGTAGGACTTACCCACGTAGTGTGAGCTTGAATGAAACTTCTGCAGGCTCATATGGAAGCTATGTGTTCTAAGATGGCGAAGCAACTTGCTTGATGAACAGTATCACTGTGACGTGTCAATAGTACCAACGATTTCCACACAGTTATTTCGAGACGGGTTGAAGTGGCTCCCGGATATTTCAACAGTGTTTCATCCATTCAAAATGCCGCACTGTTGCAGTAATGAAAAAGTTACCTCCCAGATGAGCTGCATTTTCATCGTCTCATGTCTGGTGACTGCCACCGGAGAACAAGTCACCGGGTGACTTGCTGCTGCTTTTACTAAGTATATCGGACCAACAAATTCACGTCCAGTGGTGGCTTGCCTGAGTTCTACTCCGAAGCTCGAAGTCACTACCGTAGATGAGGCGGGTCGGTATGAAGGAGCAGTTGATATACTCAGCAATTTGGCTTTGGGGTTTGTTCAGTTGATTGTGCATCTCGTGGACCGTTGTTAATCGTCACAGCACACAAGACGAGTATCTCGCGATCGGGCCGAAGAAATCAATTTGAAGGTAAGTGACATAGAAATGATTGGATCATTGCTATTCTCAAGACGTCTGATAATTTCTCAACTCTTTGATCTCCGGATCACGGATCAAGTTTTTTCTTGAGAATCATGGGTCAAGATCAAAAACGAGGCTCACATGGGATACATATCGCAGGTCAGGAATCATGATCAACAGTCAAGGGTCGATCATGATCAGGGTCAGAGGTCACGGATCAACATCACGAATCACTGATCTAATTCACGCGTCTCGGATCG